CAAGGATACAGTTACAGTATTTGAGAGTGCGGCTCTCTCATACACTGCTACTGAGTTCCCCTAATGACACGGACCAGGATAACCACTTATAGTGTTTCCTCAACTACCACAGGCACGGCAGTTTCTAAGGTACTGGATTCTGCTGCACCTCCTTGAGAACAAAAATGGCACTTGGCACTACCCTACAGGCTTATTTAGCCTACTATCGACCCGTTTAACCCTATGGACGTATACCAGTACAAGACCCAGTGTCTTCGTAGAAGGACGTCCTCCTATAGTCAGCGCAATTCAAAAGTCTGTGTTACTTAACGTGATTTGCCACTGAAACTGCAGCACTTGCATTACGGACTATGAAAACCTCATCGAAATAATGAGATGCTACTTAGTTGCGACTGGGTGAGAGGAGAGTATCCCTCCATTGAATCTAACGACTGTGCTACTATTTTTGTTATAGAGGTGCTGCCTGGTCGGGCAGGATAGTACAGGTTTACCCTAGCCTTCACTGTTACATCCCTAAGATTGGTTCGCTGGACCCATGCCTCTATATTACCACCTGGGATGTACTCACTAGGGTATTACAGAGGGAGATTCCTTACCTCATTTACATGCTCTACTGATGCATTATTGGACAGGGTAGAGACTGTTTGGAACTGGCTGTCTCGATACAGCTCCTAGGATTGGCACACTTTATGGGTACCCTATACCTCAATTTTGGATTTACTCCGGGAGATAGTACGTCTTTTGGGTGAACCCCAACTATTACAAATGTGCAGGTATTTTGGTATTTTTAGGGTCAAGCACCGTTTCACTACACAGATTCAGTTTGAACCCTGATAGGACGTCTCTTGGGGGTACTTGGCCTACCACAGTCGCAAGTTCCACAGTCCAATTGGAGTACTGGATTCACTTGGTCAACGACTACTTTGACCTGCACTTTACCGCACTTTTACTAACATAATTGTTTCCTTCCCGAATTAGTCCACTTGACTGGTAGATCATGAGGGAACGAAAAGACCGTATTCGGTTCTGGGACGGAATTGGTGATGGACTCAGACGACTTGCCTGAGGTTGGAAATTTGCCTACAAGGCCACATCACCTGGTGATTCTGGCACGATTGAAGAAGCCATCTCCCACATCAAAGGTCGAGACCTGGTGGCAGTTTTTCTCGCGATCCTACATCTACGGATGACCTTCGGTATTTTACACCTACGGGGAAATGGCTAATAGGTCAGCTTTGCAGTTCATGGATGTCTGCTAGGAAACAGGTCACATCCCCATGTACTGTGGATCTAACAGCGGATGGAGTTTTTTTCCTGTATTTTGGGGTACATCGACAGCTGGCATCTTCATCGATCCATCTACTGTCACTTCTCGCAGTTGGAAGGTCCATTTGGGATTGATCTAGTTATCTCCCGGAATAGGTACCAGAGAAACAAACAGCGTTGGATTTGTTGGCTGAGCGTTAAAACAGCAAATACGAAGCCTCCTGTCATGTTTTAAAATTGTAGATTATGCTAGCTTTAGTGTACCTATAATCTTAATTTTATTAATGACAGGAGGCGAGTATTTCCCACCCATTCTTATCCCTCCCTTGTTTAATTTTAATAGTCTGGGTTCATCAGGTACGTATGCAACTCTGCTTGTTGTCTCTGCTACCTGTCTCTGGTTCTTGAGTCCGTTTCCGAAGTAAGGGTTGGGATTTCTGTATATTATTGTATTTCTGGTTGTTACACTGGGTGACTACCTGTTTTGTTCAGAGTACATTTCATTGGCTAACCAACCTGTTTGATTCTGTTTTTTCTCTCGTTTCAGTTTACAGTCCATCAACTCTATCTAGTTTGGCAGTTCTTCTCGGATGGTGGACGTTGTTGTATTCATTGTATCTAGGACTTCGTTTCTTCCCCATTATATTTTCTGCCTTTTGTTCTGTTTTGTCGCAGCTTGAAAGAGGAAATGATGTATGGGGAGGGGAGTTTTATAGTACCTAACTTTTTTCTGATTGGTTGTTTTTCTGTGCTGCTGTAGCGTTCTAGTAAAAGAGAGACTTAAGCAAATACTCGCCTCCTGTCATTAATAAAATTAAGATTATAGGTACACTAAAGCTAGCATAATCTACAATTATGTATGTTTCCATCTAATATATATTTGTCTGTCTGATGTATTAAAATAACAATGTTTTAAAAAAATTATGTGTACACATACATACATACATGTATGCACATCACATATATTTATATAAAAAGTAGGTAAAATCCAATTTGTCTCTAAATAAAGTATGTTTTTGAGTCGTAATTAGAAAAGTGCTTCTTTTGTACATCCCGCCCAAGATGTACCTAGCTTGTCAGAATCATCTACCCCCAAGAAAGCTGAAAAGCTTTTATTGTTGGGTTCTTTAACAAGGGGTTAATGTTCACAGATTGATAATGCTGACTCCACACAGTTTAGCACTTTCTCTATAGAAAAGCTGGTGACAGGTGATGGATCTCCCTTGGAATATAGTTTGTGTTGCTTCCAAATACTTGAAATGTGTGAATCATTTGTTGGCAAGCTCAAAAGTGGAAATCTGCGACCTGCATTTAAATTGCAAATGTGACAGAATTGCATTCTTTCAGAAATAAAATCCATTGAGAATGTTTCTCTAGAACACCATTGCAAAAAATAACAAAATAAATCAACAGCTATAGGCACGTGCTTTGCAGTAAGTACACAACAATAATGCAGCAACAGTGGCCATAGAGATGAAGAAATAGTCTTTTTTATAATTTTTGGAATAATCTTACATATCATCTAAATGACTGTCAGTCCCTACACATGACATACATGATTTAAGGATGAAAAAAAATCCACTTTCTTATTAGTTTTATGTGCAATAGATGTGTAAAAATTATTTCAAGCAGAAACTGTGAGAAATGTTTACATTTTTAACCTTTTCTTAAATTTTGCCCACATTTAAAATGTTAAATAGACATTAAGGGTATCAAAGAAAACCTATATGCCCTAAAAAACACATATATATGACCCTCTAATGATGGTGGGACATATGCAAAAACTTACATACTGCGCAGTCACAATGCATGGGAAATCCTCAGTCACTATGGGGTTTTGAGTTAATTTATAAAAAATTATATTTTAGATTTAAAGGACAGTCAAGAAATCACTTGACATCAGAAACCTTTCTCTCATCCTATAGATTCTCATATATTTTGCAAAGACCTTACTTGAGGTACAGTGGCCAGGGGCTGCAAGAGAAGGTAGTTATACTCACCAGTAGTGGTTCCTGTTGGTGCCACCATCTTCTTTCTCCAACTCTTGGAGCTTCTCCTGCCTGGAGCCACATAAGTACTGTAATTATGTGCATGTGTAAGAGTACAATACTCACTCATGTCTATAGAGAATCTATAGGGAAACCATGGAATTCTCCATAGATCATGTCTCTTGATAAGTGAGATAATAGCTAACTGAAACAACTGTAATAGTGACAGATGTGAGAACTGCCAAAATTCAATGGTGGAAGCTCTGATTTGTCAAGTTTTGTTAGCTTAGGAATTTGCCATGCGACAATGTACCGGTAGTTCCTACTGTGTCTTATGATATATTTTGACTGCCATAAAT